ACCAGGTTAGATGAGAAAATCTCATTTTGTGGAAATGCAGGCTGACCTCCTCATTTCACCTGTACTATGAATGTCCCCTGTGACCCTGCTGGTGTCAACAGGCCCCTACCCCTCCCTTTGACCTTCCCTCACTTGCCTCAGGAGAGCTCAGCCCCCACCGCCACCCACAGGGCAGAGCTACCCAATCAGTCTTCAAGAGCCATGGTTGCCTAAGTGCCATCCCACCCCAGGGCCCTTTTCTGCCCTCACCGTATTTCTACGGTGGGCAGCCCTGGCTCATCCCCTTAATGACCCCAAAAGGCCTTTGATGGCATTGTTGGGGACAGTGGGCTCCTATCTCTAAGCATGGTTGTTATAGAGGTGCAGGGAGGTCATGTAGCCTGCTGGGTCCCCCGACTGCCTCCTTGACTAAGCACCCTAAGGCTTCACTGAGTGGCCCTATCCTCCTCAGTAAGCTTGTCCTCATAAGAATCTGTAGCTAGAGCTCCCTCTGGGCCACTGAGAGCCAGGCTGCTCTCTGCCTTTGACCCTAAACTGCAGTTGCTACTGGCCATTCACCCACGGCCCCACCACTGCCCACAAGCCCGATGTCAACCCCCGTGTGCCCGCCTAGAAGGGTGCATTGAGGAAGTGTAAGTTACTGTATAGGTGCTGGTCAGCACATGTAGGGTCTTCAGGGCCTGGGCACCTGAGTCTCCCCTGTCCCCACCTCCCCGCCAGCCTCCTGCTGCTGCCGGGGGCTCAACTCTAGGGTTCCCACTTCCTTCTTGGTCCCAAGGGCACCTACCTTCCAGATATTGGCTGCCACTGCCCAAGCCTTAGTCCCTGGGGGCAGCCAGGACTCACTGAGGTGCATCTGCTCTCCACCAGCGCCCGACTCTGCCTGACACCACCAGCTGGGAAGGAGTGTGTCCCTTGCTGCTTCTGTGTGCAGAGTGCTGGCTTTTCATGTGCACACTGGGTCCAGGGACTAGTGCTCTCTGATCCGGGTTGTGGTAACCTATTCACTTTCCCGCCGTTCTGGGTGTTGCCTGTGATATGTGTAACCATTGCAATGGATTATGGAAGCCCGCAGAGAAGCTAGATGTTGTGGGAGTGGTGGTTGGTGTGGAACACACACAGAGAGATCGAGGCTGGAGGCTGACCCCTGCCCTCTGGCAGTTGGCATGGGCTGTTGCGGAGTTAGTCTCCTCCCTCATGTAGCCAAAGGAGGTCGTTGTGGTCTCCACCTGGTTTACTCAGTAGGAGACTCAAACTTGAACAACAAAAAACATAGATCTCATCACAATTTAAAACTTTTGTGCTTCCAAGGACATTATCAAGGAAGTGAAAGCAACTTACAGAATGGGAGAAAATATTTGTGAGTCATGCATCCGATGAAAGGTTATTGCTGCCGAGTGCTGTGGCGTTGGCCCCGCCTCGGAGGGACCCTGTAGACAACAGAGCACTCCCCGGTCCTGCGCCATCCTCACAAGTGTTCTTATGTCGGAGCCCACTGGGGCAGCCACTGCGTCAGCCCAGCTCCTCGGGGCTTCCTCTGTCTCGCTGACCTTTGACCTTACCAAGCATACTACCCCTTTTCAAGGACTGATCTCTCTTGATAACATGTCCAACGTATGTGAAATGCAGTCTGGCCAACCTCACTTCTGAGGGGCATTCTGGCTGTACTTCTTCCAAGACAGTTTGTGCTTTGGGCATTCCATGGTACTGTAAATATTTTTCACCAGCACCATCATTCAAGTACGTCGATTCTGCTTAAGTCTGCCTTATTTAGTGTCCAACTTCCATAAGCTTACTGGGCAATGGGAAATGCCATGGCTTGGGTCTGGTGCAACTTACTCCTCGAAGTTACACCCTTGCTTGTCAGTGCTTTAAAGAGGTCTTAGTATTCAGAATATGCATAGTTCCTGCAGCTCAATAATAAAAAGGCAACTCACTTTAAAACTGGGCAAAGGACATGGTTAGATATCTCTCCAAAGAACATCGACAAATGGGCAATGTGCTCATAAACAGATGCTTATTGTTTATGTCAACCTGAACAATTGGCATCACCAGTCAGGAGCAAACTGGAAATCAAAACCACAGTTAGATACTACTTCACACCTACCCCTAAACTCCAAAAAGCTCAGTGCCATCTATCTTGTTACTGCTTGAGGGACTAGAAAGCCTGCTTTCACTCTCAGAGCACCTGCTGGTTTCGAACTGCTGACCTTGAAGTTAGCAGTCCAAAACATAACCCATACTTAGGATAGCATAACAAGTATCGGTGAGGAGCTAGAGAAATCGGCACCATCACCTGCTGTTGGTGGGAATGTAAAATGGCACAGCTAGTATGGAATCAAGTTCAATCTAAGAATTACCATAAGGAGAAAAACCTAAGACCAACTTAATCCCATTGTTGTGGCGTCCATTCTGACTAGTGGACCCAGTAGGTTGACCCGCGTTTCCAAGGCTATAGAAGCACCCACCTCTCTGGATTCCACAGCCCCGTTCTTAACCCTGTACCACAGGAATCCCTGGAACCACCACTTGGCCCCGTAGCCCTGAGCCTAGGCGTTCAGTTGACCCTTGAACAACACAGGTTGGGTTGCCAACCTACCACACAGTTGAAGATCTGCATGTAATTTTTAGTGGACCCTGAACATGTTTTTGAACTTGAGGACTTTGTTTCTCCTGTTGTATATTGTGATGAGCTCAAGTATGCACCTACAACTTAGCTGGCGAGAGGAGCTACTCACTCTGAGATTGTTACCTTCACACTGAAGCTGGTACTTTCATGTAAATAATGCACACGTCTTCTACATCTTTTCCCAACCATTTCCTCCCCCAGCAAGTGCTATGCTAATTTGTTCTATGTTGCTGCAAACATAATGAGCAGAGCGTGCTTACAGAAAACACCAGAGGGGCCAGTGTAGTTGGCCAAAAAAGTCAACCATGTGGTGGTGTTTGCATAAAGTTATGTATTCGTGATTGTGAAAAGGTGGAAACCCCCAAAGTGTCCAGATGAATAGACAAAATTAGTTCATACATACAATGGTTTATGATTCAGCCACGAGATGGAATAAGATTCCAACTATAGCATGCTGCAATATGGGTAAGCCTTGAAAACATGCTGAGTGAAATAAGCCAGTCATAAAAGATCTACTATGGTATGAGTTTATGTATCTGAAATATCCAAAATAAGGAAATCCATAGAGACAGGAAATAGGTGAATGGCTATCATGTCTGGGACTTGCAGGGAATAGGAAGTTACTTCATTGCTTTAAATAGTGTCATTTTCTAATATCCATTGCAATGGCTACACAGAACCCACCACAAAATTCATAATCAAAGAGTTTATTAAGGAAGTTAACAAGTTGCAATGCCAGTGAGAAATGTTTGGGAGAATTGTTTTTCAGGACACGTTACAAAGTTCTTTCAGGTCTGCTAATGTCTAAGAAGCATTCCACACCCCTGGAAGTCTCAACCCAAAAGCATTCAGCGCAAGCTCCATGGGTCAGCAAACCCAGCTCCCTGAATTAAGTGCCCAGAGGCACCCCACTCCACAAGCCAGCCTCCTGCACAAAAGCACTCAGCTTGACCTGCTCCGTGGGTTGGGAAGTCCATCACTCCGATCCGTGCTCTGGCTTCTGGTTCTGCGGCTGCTCCTCTGTTGTGAAAGCTGTCTTCTGGATGCAGGGGGTTCAGGTCCAGGAGATGAGCTCTCTCCTGCTTCCCAGAGGGCTTATTTTATACACAACAGGGTGGCATTTCAAGGAATCTGTTTTATCAGTGTAGAGTTTCTGATTGGGGTGATGAAAAAGTTTGGAAAGAAATGATGCTGATGTTTGCATAACATTCTCTATGTAAATAATACCACTTGAATTTTACACTTAAAATAATTAGAATAACATTTCTCATGCATGCGCACATGCATAAATATACAAGGGGGGACTTTTAAAAGTTTGTGGGGGAAATTCTCTTACTTTTTCATTCCATTTTTTCACAAACTTTTTGACAACCTATAGTGTGGGTGTGGGCTAAATAAAATAAAAAATGTAAAAGCAGTGATAAAAGTGGAATGAGCACATTTTCTTTGGAATTTTGAAGAATTAACTAAGACATTATGTGGAAATGGGGGGATGACAGGTTTTCAACATAATTTAAGGAGTTTTTTAGTAGCTTGAGCTGTTACCAAGGGTGGTCAGTTTGGGATGTTTCGGGGGGTATGTTGGAGCAGAAGGATCCACGCTGTGTAGCCAGGTTAAAAAAAACCTCTGACACACAAGGTTGGTAGTTCAAACCCAGCAGCTACTCTGCAGGGAAAGATGAGTGTGCCTATTCCTGTAAAGAGTTCATATCCCCCCAATAAAATGGTTTTTTAAAAAGATATAAGATTAACAATCTGTAACTTATCAAGGGTTCATGAGGGAGGGAGGGAAAAATGAGGAGCTAGCAAGGGCTCAAGTAGAAAGAAAATGCTTTGAAAATGATGATGGCAGCATACGTACAAATGTGCTTGACACAATGGATGAATGTATGGATTGTGATAAGAGATGTAAGAGCTCCCAAAAAAAGTATTTAATTAAAAAAAAAAAAGGATTCATATCTTAGAAACCCGAAAGGGCAGTCTTCCTCTGACCTATAGGATCACTATGATTTGGAATCAACCCAATTGGTTTTGGGTGTATGTGAGTAGATTTTACAAGCGAGACTATTTCAGTGGAGACTTATTTTTATCAAAGTATATCTTTTTAAAAACCTAATATTATAATTAGAAATAATGTTTTCAGACAAGCATATCTGTAAATGATCGATTCTTTAATCAGAGTGCGTATATAGTAGCCCAAGTTGATCTAGGAGCATTTATTTGCATGTTTGGAAGTAAAATTGAATAGCATTCTATATGCTTAACAGGAATTAAATATCCATTATATTAAAATGTGTGCACAGTAGTAGGTTGGTTCTGTTGTTGTCATTTCCCTAATATCAGTTCACGCCATGGATCTTTCCTCCTGCAGGAATAGGAGGCCTCCAAGACTCAGTGCTGAAATCTGCAACACTGTGTAGTTTGCCATCCTGTCCGCCCTTTATACCACTCAGCTTTGAAGCCACCCCGATTGTGAGGGTTGCTGTGGAACCGAAACACCCAAGTAAGATGCCCTTTTCTTAACAAAATGTAATGTGATGTATGTTACACTACTTAGTTCCTTAGCAGTTGTACCCACAGTACATTGTGTGAATTATATAGGTGAAGTATTTCTGTACAATATGCTTACACATCATAGAAGTAAATCTCCCTAGCAACAAGGCTGTTCAGAGAAAACCTCGCCTCGGCCCTAGGAGTATGGCGTGTTCTCCAGGGAGACAGCACTCTGTTTGATGCCAGAGAACAGGCCGTCGCACTCTGGTTTCCCATCTTCTTTTATCCTTTTTCCATAACCCTTCCTTCTTGTTTTCCTCTCCTTCCTTCCTTCCTTCTCACTTTTAACCTTCTCTGTGTGTGAGGGTAATCTAAAAGTATTGCTGTAAAATGACAGAAACCTTTATTAGACAAAGCTGTTAGAATGTGAAGTTCTTGTTTCTCAACAGAACTCCATTTAGGTCTGTTTGCTTGTGCGGGCTGACCTCTAGTCCTTCCCCAAAGAGAGCTGTGCTCTTCAGTGTCCACTAAGTCACTGAGGGACTCAAATCATGCTCCTTTGGTTGTAAGGAACATGAAGAAGTTTGAGGGGCAAGATTAGGGCCCTAAAGTGGATGGGTTAAGGTTTCCCAAGGAAATTCTCATAGAACAGCCCTATTACCCTCAAAGAAGGAGCAGGTGCATCGCCATGATAGGAAAAATTCCTCAACACACCTTTCCTGGCCTTTCGTCACCAATGAAGTATTCAGTTTTCTGAAATTTTTTTCTGTGATCAATGTTCTTTAAGAAAAATCTATCCAAATGTGGTGAAGAAAGCTGATGGTGCCCAGCTATCAAAAGATATAGCGTCTCGGGTCTTAAAGGCTTGAAGGTGAACAAGCAGCCATCTAGCTCAGAAGCATCAAAGCCCACATGGAAGAAGTACACCAGCCTGTGTGATCACGAGGTGCTGAAGGGATCAGGTATTAGGCATCAAAGAACAAAAAAACCATATCATTGTGAATGAGGGGGAATGCGGAGTGGGGACCCAAAGCCCGCCCATCTGTAGACAACTGGACATCCCCTTACAAAAGGGTCCCCGGGGAGGAGACGAGCCAGTCAGGGTGCAGTGTAGCAATGATGAAATATACAACTTTCCTCTAATTCCTAAATCCTTCCTCGCCACCCACCATCATGATTCCAATTCTACCTTACAAATCCGGCTAGACCAGAGGATGTACACTGGTACATATAGGAACTGGAAACACAGGGAATCCAGGACAGATGATCCCTTCAGGACCAGTGGTGAGAGTGGTGATACCAGAAGGGTGGAGGGAGGGTGGGATAGAAAGGGGGAAGGGATCTACATATAACCTCCTCCTGGGGCACGGACAACAGAAAAGTGAGTGAAGGGAGATGTCGGACAGTGTAAGATATGACAAAATAATAATTTATAAATTATCAAGGTTCATGAGGGAGGGGGAGCGGGGAGGGAGGGGGGTAAAATGAGCTGATGCCAGAGGCTTATGTGGAGAGCAAATATTTTGAGAATGATGAGGGTAATGAATGTACAAATGTGCTTTATACAATTGATGTATATATGGATTGTGATAAGAGTTGTCTGAGCCCCGAGTAAAATGATTAAAAAAAAATTTTAAGAGGCAAGTTCAACTATAGAAGTCTTTAGAGAAAAGGGAGCTCAATTGTAAAATTTGTTCTGAATCATCATATTAGTATTGAATGTATGCAGAATTCTGGAAATTTACATTGAAAAATTTAAATGGGCATCTATGTAATATTTCTTATTAGACCTCTTCAAGTTGACACAAGTTTGCTTGCTAAAATTGAAAGGTGACTTGAAGCACTTAATGAAGAAAGTGAAAAACTACAACCGTCTGTATGTAGTACGTCTGGCATTGCGCTGGAGTAGCACTTCTGACTTGGCTGACTCAGCCCTTCAGGAGCCCTGGCAGTCCCGTGCTTCAGCCTCAGTTCCAAACCCAGTACGAGCACTCGGGGGAGCATGCTGGGCTAGTGGGTTCAGTTGGAATGGCTCGGCGACCCATACCATAAACGCCTATATTCATCTATGTGAACATCTGTGCGAATGTTTCTGTTATATTAGAAAACATGCAAAAAAAGTAGAAATCATTTTTAAAACTGCTAAGAAAATGAAATTATTTTAAGCAATTTTTTATTTGCTAGCTGGTATACCATATACATAATCAGTTTACTTGTGATCTAGTTTACAATTGTGTTGACTTATCTAATGCTGCATAGCTAATTACCTGAAAACTCAATTGTTGAAAACAACAGGAGTGCGATTATTTTCCGTAACAGTCCTTTGGTCAGGAATCTGGGGGAGATTTAGCTTGGGGACACTTATGTGACTGCAACCAGATGTCAGCAGGGGCTGCCATCACCTGAAGGTCTAAGTGGACTTCTGAGATAGTCCGTTCATGGAAGCTCACAGGTTGGTGCTGGCTACCCACCTCTGGGCCTCTCCACAGAGGGTCCAGCAGCATAGCCTTGCCGACGCAGCTGGCTTCAGTCCAAGTTACCAAAGCAGATGCTCCGATTCCTTTGTGTTCTGGCCTTGGCTAGCACACCCCATCCCTTCTGTATTTTAATAGACACCCAGGCAGCACAGGCTTGCTGTGGGAGGTCTACACAGGAGTGTAACATTAGGAGACAAGGTGACGTTTGGAGTTGTTCAGAGCTCCGGATCTAGCGTCCATGTATTCTGACACGTGGTTTGAATGCCTGTCCTCACTAGCAAATACACCGTGCAGGTGTCACAGTCCAAGTGGAAGAAGTGCATCACTGGCTGCCTTTCTCAAGCATGTCCAGTTCAGAATCGCACTTACTAGGCACACAAAGGTTCTGACGAAGGTGTTATAAACATCTACTTTCCTGACTGCAGTCAGGTCTGTTGTTGCAGTACCTCACAGGGTAGAACCAATGGTTCAATGCCTGGCCACAGGAAGGTTGGCAGCTCAGACCTACCCAGAAGCACCTCAGAAGAAAGGTCACTGCTTTGAAAACCCAGTGACGTGCACGTCTACTCGGTATCCCATGCGATCACTGTGAGGTGGAATTGATGCCACAGCAATTGGGTTGGTGGTGGTAGGTAGTGGATTTTTTTTAAAGGTTTTTGACTTTATGACTTTAATAAACAATTCCTTTGGAAAGTTTTAAACCAGATTTAAGAAAGTCAACTTCCAAATGGCAAGAGGCATCATAGATGTCGCACACCAGTTACGCTCTTGGCTGTTAACCCAAACAGCAGCCCTTAGAGCCCCCAGCAATTCCACAGGAACAAGGTGAGGCTGAGTGCTTCCGGAAGGATGACAGTGGGGCAGTTCTCTATCCTACAGGGTCACCTTGATTCAGAACCAGCCAGACAGCAAGGGGCGAGGGAGGTTTACCGAAGAGGTGCTTATGTTGTTTTGGCCACAAAATGCCTCTCAATGGAAGCATTTGCAAACATCTTTCAAAATGCCTGCAGCTCTATTCAAACTTGTTTGGGGGGGAAAAAAACCTTGTTGTTGTTGCTATTGTTAAACTAAAGGGATAGGTTTAAGGGTGGGTTTTTTGTTTTGCTTTTTAAGTGTTTGCTAGGTCCTAATGGTGGCCTAGTGGTTATGCGTGAGCCAATATTGACTTGATGGCACTGAGAATACTGATGAACAGCCATTGTGTTTACTTTGTGATTTGGCTGATTGAGAGTGGACTAAAAAACTCACACACACACCCCCCACTGTTCTCCTATGCTTATGCTAGTATTATATCATCAGTCTGAGGTCTCTTTGCAAAGATCCTTTTAAGCCATGTTCCAGCTTTGTGGAGGTGAGATTAGCTAACATGAGAAACTATCTCTAACTCCATGTACCTGGGAGCAGGGACACTGCGATATGCTGACATCAAGTGAGGCTGCCTCTTTTTAAGCCCTGCTTGTGGTGGACTCGCACTCCCTGTCGGTGAGGCCCAGAGGTGGCTTGAAGTGTGAGGGTGCTAGCACCCAGTGATCTTTACATGAGAGTGAGTCTCAAGGAAGGCCATGTCATAAATACTACTTGTTCCTAGATTGGGGTTAAAACTGGGCAAGCCAATATATATATATATTATATATATATATATAAAATCTGTGATTCACCTTAGAGCCATCATTATTGCTTTGTTTATGTTATCTCTTACTTCTTTGGGGTATGTGCCTAGCAAAGAGACTATAACTCTCAATGGGAATAGAAAGCTTGCTCTTTTTCCCAAGAAGCAGCTGATGATTTTGAACTGTTGACCTTGTGATTAACAGCCCAATGCGTGACTTGCTATGCCACACAGGCTCCTTAGAAACACTCCTGTGATCTAAAACGTGAATAGGAATGGAAGTTGTAGCATTTTCTTCTGCACCCGCATCAATTTTTGTAGCCCATGAAAAAGACCGCTGCGCTGCCGCATCTCCCTGTGATTTCAGTTGTTTGCCTTGTTGAAAAGCAAGCGCTCATGGAGCTAGCACGTCTTTCCCTCCAAGACAGAAGCCCTGGCCTCCGAGTGATCAGGAGCAGGAAGCTTCCTCTGGCCTGCCTTCTGTGATCAGTAGCCGCTGAATCTGAACACAATTGAAAAAGCAGCCCAACCCAAGGTGTTGATGAGGATCTCCATCTGTAACCACAACGCCCATATCTCTAAAGAAAAGGCAATGATGTGCTAAAAGCACAAACAGAATGCAATGCGCAAAGCCCCTGTAACGCATGGGGTGAAATGGCGAGTTGGTTTGTGATAATGCTGACTAGATTTCTAAGCCAAAAGGCGCTTTCTTCTGGACTGCGCAGTTCTTTTCTTCCTAATACACGTGCTTGCCATGAAAGACTCCCACGTCCATTTCAGTTTTACTTTTCCTCCTCCTTTTTCTTTACACCATTCATTCCTTTATTTAGGTTTGAGGGATAAGGAATCTAGAGGTATTTTTTGTTTTTAAAGAAACGTGTATTTACACAGTCCATCTCAAGAAATGAAATCCACAGCAATTCTGACAAGCGACCCCACAATTCTGACAAATACTTTTGCAAAAGATTGTTTTGAAGACAGCTGACTCTGCAAAGCTGCCGTGCCATCGTTTCCTGCATCGTGCCCCTGCGTACTTTCACACATCGGAGGTTTGTACCAAACAACCCCGTGTGCTGGTGGTGCCGTGGTTTCAGCGGCGGTCCTCACTTCATGCATCTGTGGCACATTTTTGTCATTCACGCAGCTTTGAAACTTTTTTATAGTGCTATTCAAATAAACTATAGTATAGCAGAAGCATAAGTGTATTGGGGAATAGATAAAACTCTGTTTCACATGATTGTTCTAGTTTCTCTAGTGTATCTGAAACCCAGCTTGCAACCTCTCCGATATTGCCTACAGTTCCTTTTCATTGAATATGATAGTAAAGGCTTGTGCTTATTTTTGTACTATTCGGGAGAAAGAGGTGTGCTCCGTCTCTGTTATGTACATGTATACACTTGTAACAAGATTTGGGTGAATTCCCAAGTGTAACTGATGCCAGGAAACAAGGGTCTCGAGATGCCTGTCATTTTCAGCCGAAGACAGACCAGGTTGATTAGAGAAATTGTAAGTTTATCTTTGCAAACTTTGACAGAAGGAAACAAGGGATTGGCTACTTCCAGACTGCTTCAGAGACTGATTGAAAATCAAACAAATTATATACTTTATGCTATTATTATAATACATTAATATTATATTAATTCAAGGAATATTGAATGGCTTTGTTACAGTGGCAGGACTTCAACCTTGAGCAAAGGAAGCATGGATCTGAGGGCCAGGTGTCCTCGGGGGCCTGTTCCCCGCCCCCCCAGGCTCTATTGCTTATCTAAGTGGCCTTGCTTGCCCAGGTGTTTTGTGGTGTTTTGTTTGCCCAGACTTGTTACATGAGAACATCCTTACTGATCAAGTGTAAGAGGAATTTTTACTGCAAGGAGGAGCTGTTATATTTGGGATTTTAGCAAACAAATCTTAACAGACTAGATTCCAAACCCTGTTACATGTCCAGTATTTGATTAGCAGCAGACTTAATTGCTCTTTCATCTCCCTCTGTGGTACTCATGGTATTTGTGTTTGTGGAGGAGAGAGGGCAGCTTTGGGAGTATTGGTGTTAAGCATCACCGCATTTCTTTCTAGTTATCTGCACAAATAAATTACTAGAATAGGGTCTTTCTTCCCGTGTCTGCATTTTGTGGATAATCATTGTTTGAAGGGTTTATTCCACTGCCCTTCTCCCTGTGGTGGTCTTAGCCATTGCCTTTCAGTTGGACTAGTCATGTTTAACCAGTGTTTCATTTTCCTACCTAGGCGAAATGCCTCAGCTTGTCAAAGGAATGAAGCTGTTAAACCAAGCCGATCCCTGCGTCCAGATTTTAATCCAGGAAACGGGAGAGCATGTTTTAGTCACTGCAGGGGAAGTCCACCTTCAAAGATGCCTGGATGACTTAAAAGAAAGGTCAGATGATAAAGACAGACCTGGGGAAGGAATCGCTCCCAATCGGGGCTGTGGTGGCGTTTCTTGAGCCAGTTGACATGAGACTGGTGTGTTGTTGGAACAGAGTGAAATGCCCTCAACTCAAACATGACCTGTTAGTGGGTCATAGTCTCACTTCTAATAACTGATACCTGCTCTCAGTTCCTGCCCTTGGATAGTTTTGCATTGTTTGAGTCAAAAATGTGTTCATCTACGTGTGTTTTCCTTTAAGTATATGCACAGCATTGCAGCACGCCAGGGCAACCAGTGAAACATTTCGTTTTATGAATGTTAGACTGTGATGAAGAGGGAGGGACTTCTTTCCTTATTGGCTTGGTCTTCTCTAATGTAACCCTTCCAGAGCTCTTTTCTTCTCTGTGAAAGGAAAATGTGTCATAAAATGGACATCATAAATCACTCTTTGAAAATAGCCTCTTTACTTTTATATAAAAGGTCTTGTATGAGTATTGGAGCAATTAGGAAGATACAGAAGACTAAAAATAATCACTCAATCTCCATGCAGAGGTCACCACCTCTCTATCCACATGTAAAGCCCTCCAGACTAGTCTATGCATATCCAAATATGCACAGATTGTCGTACACCCCGCTGTAATTATTGGTTGATAGACACGTGTAGAAATGCTACTGCTAGCTTTAAAGGTATGCATATTTTAAGGCTTACATTCAATACTTCCCTCAAGAAAGACCTTTCCAATTTACATTATCGCTAGCAATAAGTATTGGAATGTGATTTCACCGGTCTAGAAGTCAAATCAACAATGGTCATTGTTAGTTTAGATTGCTGTACTTGCTGTGTTGTTGTTGGCTGCTGAGTCATGGCAACCCCTCTGTGCAGAGAAGAGCTGACTGCTTCGTAGGGTTTCCAGTCTTGACCTTTCTGAAGCAGACCTGCACAGGGAGGTCTTGTGAGACACCTCCGGATGGATGGGCTTGTAGGACCAGCTTCCCTGTACTTTTCTACTGTTGTGTGCCCTCGAGGCGATTCTGACTCACACCCCTCTCAGTTAGCCACCGAGTGCTGCGTGCCTCCACACCAACCCCAGAGCAGCCTCAGGGCTTCCTAGTGGTATTGAAATGGGGCGTTTGTCACGTGTTTACTAGCCATTGTTTTGTTTTTCCCCCAGTTAGTGAATTGCCCTGAAATGGCTCTTCTTTTAATTTCAAATTTTCTAGGATTATAATAATCATAGCAAAACCAATAATTATAAGGAATTAGCATAATTATATACAACATGCCAGTCACTGTGCTAAATCATATTTCTTTATTGGCTCATTTAATCTTACACAACAACCTAATAAAATTGCTAGTACTTGTGGTGGTAGAGTCCCTGGGTGGTACAAACCATAATGTGCTCAGCTGTTAACCAGAAGGATGGAGGTTTGAGGCCACCCAGAGATGCCTGGCTAAAAAGGTGGTGAATGGCTTAAACCATATAGATCACAGTTCCAGTCTGACACACATGTGATTACTAAGTGTTGTAATCAGTTCAACTGCAGTACTAGTATAACTACTAGTAGTATTAAAAGAATAAGCTCACCTGCTGCAAGTATCTGCATCCAGGTAGAATTTTTAAGAACTCTTGCCAGTTTGAGAAAGTTGTTTTTGTTATTTAATTTCAAAGAGTGCTATTGCTTATTCCTTCTTTAACTTTTATAGCATCAGGTATAAAGAGTGTAAAATTGGAAGGGTAGATCTTCCTTCTCTTTCACTTTTGTCACCACTGTTATGAACTTCTACAGGTTCTAATGTTAGAGAATAATATGAGGGGGCACGCTAGGCTAGCATCAAGCAACTTGCTCTGAGTTAGTGTACCCATTGGCGTCACCTGGGAAGGTTCTCTCTAGTCACAATAATTTTTTTTCCCCTGCAAAAGCAGTTTTGCATGAACCCCGTGTTTTTGTGATGGCCAATTTAAGAGAACAGTGTGTGGCTGTGACCAGAAACAGGGTGGTGTTTTATGTATGGGACATTTAAATGTGGTTTAAAAACCTGAAGGTATTGAATCCAGTGGTGTTGGTAAAAGGTCATTATATTCACACGCTTCGTTGTCATGTAGGAGTTTAGGGCTCCTTATAAACTGGGTACTAAATAGCTTGTCCTGGGACAAGAAATGTGGAAGACTTGAATGAACAATTTTACACAAGTGTATTTTAACTTGTAAAGGGAATGGACAAATTCTTAGGAAAGTCTGACCAAAGAGAAGTAGAAAGCCATGTAGTATCTACAGCTCAACAGAGTTCAGAGTTGTAATGACATTTGAAAAATCAGTTCATGTAAATTTACCAGGTTAGCAGAAAAAGAAGAAAGTAATCTCAATTGGTGAAAGCACTTGATAAAATTCTACATCCGTGCCGGAGCAGAACCCTTAGTGCACTAGTAGTGGAAGGGGATTTCCTTCATCTGATAGGGTCTTCAAAACAAATGGAGTATCAAGCAGGTACTTGCTTGGGAAACTTTTTAAGCCTTTTGTGATCAGGAATAAGATAATGGTGTGTCACTTTCAAAACTTCTATTTAATATTGTACTGGAAGACTTAGGGAAGAGAAAGTATAAAACAGATAAGAATTCAAAAGGAACAAAACTGTCATTATTTGCCAATGAAATGAGTGTGTACTAAAAGTTCAAGAAGTCTACAAGAACTGTTAGGATTGGTGAAAGTCAGCAAGGTTCCTAAATTTTCAAGATCAAGATAATAAACAAAATGAAAAGGTTACTATTTAAAGTCTTAACAAAATTATCAAATACTTAGGAATAGAAATGTACCCATCTTAATGGGGCCTCCGCAAAAACCATAAAGCATAAGAGGTATATGCTGTATGTTGTAAGGTAGTCAAGAGGTGCCAGAGACCAAATCAGTCGAATTAGAACAAACAGGCTTTATTCGGGAGAAAAACCCAGCCTGGGCGAAGTCCCACAGTCCACAATGTCCAGGCTGGGTGAGTCGCATTGCAGGCTACGGGGCTGCTGCTTATATGGACAGGTATGTCTGGGTTTCTGGAATGTAAGGTGTCTTCCTGGTTCAGGGTGTATTTGTGCCGGGTACAGATTGATGGGCAAGAACAAAGCGGGCACTGAGCCAAATGGGCCGTGCTGGGTGCAGAAGGGAGGGTCGAGAGCAGAGTGGGCACTGAGCCAAACGGGCCACGCAGGTGCCGGGTACAGAGCGGCAGGTCGAGAACAAAGCGGGTCATTAGCCAGCTCTGGTCAGCTCCGCAGGTGTGTGTGGGAGATTCAAGGCCACTTGCTGCTAGTTGTTTCAGCCAGCTCTGGTCAGCTCCGCATGGGTGGGGAAGACTCAAGGTTACTTGCTGCTAGAAGCCAGCCTGGTATTGATCTGGCCATACATATGTATTGTTTGAAAATGCAATATTATAATGATGTCAGTTCTCCCTTAACAGATTCAGTGCCATTTCAGTGCAAAACTGAATGTACTTATGTGTGGAGTTTAATAAGTTGAGCCTAAAGTTTATGTGGAAATGCAAAGAACCAGTGAGACATGTATAAAGAAGTAGAATAGGAGGCCTTCTTGTTAGATTGTAAATTAAAACCCTAAGGACTGTATGACATCGGCACAGCCCCTGATGGAGGTGCGAGTTTATGGTGCTGAACAGGTTTCACTGGGACTTCAGCTAAGGAGCTAAGGAGAGAAGCTTGGTGATTTACTTCCAAATATCAACCAACTAATCTAAAATATTAAAAAATCACTTCAAGTAAATAAGAAAAACAACTACTCACTAGAAAGTGAAACAAGGGCAGTTGACAAGCGTATTCCCAAAACCAGTAAATGTAAAAAAAGTATTCAGCTTATTAGTAATAATGACATGAAAATGAGAAAGTAATGCTCATTATATATACTCACCGAAGTCGTTGACAATTTTAAAAGTGTCAACACTAAGTAGTGGCCAAGATGTGGACTAGCAGGCCTTCACCCCTCACCCCCACAGCTGTTAGGAATGGGAACTGTTACAGCTCCAGAATACAGTTTGGTATTACCTGGTAAGACAGGCATTCTCCATGACTTAGCAGATCGACCCTCGATTCTGCTCTCCATAAACTCAACACGGCTAGGAAAATGCATCAAGAATATTTATCACGAAATTTTAATAGCCCAATACTGGAAACAACTGAATCAAATACATAGAAATTATGGTATATCAATTCAGTAGAATTCTATTGAATAATCATAATTGAGCAATGTATAACTATGTAAAACATGGATAAATCTCGCTGTGTAATTTCAGGCAAAAAAATAAATAAGCCATTTGAAAGACAGCCCCAGGTACATGTTTGAGCCTATTAATGCAAAGTTTAAAAAGCTGGCCAAACTGAACTTCAGTGATTACAACATGAGGATAGCGTTTACCTTCGTGGAATCACGAGGAGACATGATGGGGACTTTTAAGGACTGGCCATGTTTGCTTTTTGACTTGAGTGGTAGTTTACATGGATTTTGTGATAAGGCATAGATTAGTAGACTTTTATAAAACCAAACCCACTGCCATCTAGTTGATTCCAGCTCATAGTGACCCTAGGAAACAAAACCCATTGCCATTATGTCTCTGGTGATTCCTAGTGGGCCTACAGAACACTTTTATGAGAGTGGAAAAATCTCCCAGCAAGCTCCAGGCAGTTTTGAACTGCTGACCTTGTGGTAAGTATCCCAAAGTGTAACCACTACACTATCAGGGCTCCCAATGAATAAAGCTGCCCCACAGGGTTTCCAAGACTCAATCCTTATGAGAGCAGACACCACCACCACCCCCTATCCCCGGCATCTTTCTCCATTAGAGCAGCTGGTGAGTTTGGGCCATTGCAACACCGCGGTTTCTTCCACTGTTCTATATGACTGAGAAGTTTCACCACTCTACTTAGACAGGTAACAATGCTAGGGTATATTTTAGTGCATGGAAGAGATCTGGCCCTTTTATTATATGGGTTTGGTTTTTTTTTTTTAACCTTTCACACACACTTTCTGGAATGCATTTATACCTCAGTGGGAGACGGGGAAACCACCTGTTGTCTCTAGGCCAGGTAACTGTCAAGAGTTCTTCACATCCAGATATGGCAGGAAGCCACAGGAAATTGCCTTGCTGTAATCGGAGGCAACTGCTCTTTGTTAAAGTAATAACAAACTAGCTGTTGCCAGGATTTTAAAGAGCCTTTGGCTCTGAGGGGCTTGGTAGGTGTGACTGTCATACACAGGTCTCCACAGGATGGACTGGTTTTAATTAATTTTGTAAGTGACCACTATAGACCTCTTGGGAACCTCAGATAATTGAAGGACGAGAAGGGCCCACAACCAATTTTACGTTATTATACAACCAGATCCAAGGACAATGTCATAAATATTCTTATAGTTTTATAAATATTCTTACAGCTTGGCCATGTTTCTCTTGACGTTCTAAGTATATGAACACGTTATTTTTTAACAATGACAATTGAAAATACATTATTCAGTTTTTTTGGTAAGACTTTTTCCTTCCGGAAATCAAGTATGGGTATTGCATTTTATTAAATTTCAATTTACCAATTTTACATGAAAATGGTCTCCTAGATTACTTTATGTGCCCTTTTAATGTAATATATTATTCTAATGTATAGTCTAATACAAATCAGGTTCTATACTCATAGTAAACACATGATTTAATACTGCCTTGAATGCTTTCCTTTCATGTCCCTTTGAATTGGCCTTTTCAGTGTGGCATAAAGGCTGAGGGCATGGATTCTGGAGTCAGCCCTGGATTTGAATTCAGCTTCCCTACTTACTAGCCATGTGACTTTGAGGAAGTTATTTAACCTTTTTCACCTTGGTTTACCCGTCTTATGAAAAGAAGATGGTTATAGTAATTAAAGAGTAAACATGGATTTAATTTTCATTATTTGCAGTAATGCTCTGTAAACCCCTGATTAATAAATTCTGAGCTATTATCCCTAGAGCAGTGGTGCTCAACCTTCCTAATACCGCGACCCTTTCATATAGTCCCTCATGTTGTGGTGACCCCAACCATAAAATTATTTTCGTTGCTACTTCATAACTGTCATTTTGCTACTGTTATGAATTGGGCCACCCATGTGAAAGAGTTGTTCAACCCCCAAAGGAGTGGCGACCCACAGTTTGAGAACCGCAGCCCTAGAGGAAAATACAGAGGTTCTTGTGAGCCTCTGGTCACAACATTTTCATCAGATGATCAATACATAGCCTTATTGTATGTGTGTTTTTGTTTAATACATGAACTCCCTGGGTAGCATAGGACGTTGAGTGCTAACCTCCTAGCCAGAGGCTGGCTGACCGTGTGAACTCCCCAGGGCAGTGTAGAAGGCCGGCCTGACAGTGCGCCTCTTGGAAGCCTGTGAAGTAATTCTGCTCAGCCTTCACGGTGTCACCACAAGACAAACTGCCTGAGCGACAACTCGGGACATTGAGTGTCTATTGTTGATGGACTGATGTTGAACTCGCAGCCCACCAGCCTGACTGAAGCTTAAGTACCACACTCTTCCTCCCTGAGGCACAAAACACTCAAATAGGCTTTCAGCACTATACTTGAGCGCCCTTTTAACAGTGAGTCACCGGCGCAAAGCACCCAAAGTATGAAGAGTGTAGCACTACACAGACCAAGAAAGTAGCGCTTGCTTACACTATGAAAATTGAAACAAGAAGCCAGAGGGTTGCCCTGTCCAGCCTCAATTGGAAATGTGTGAGCCAGGCAGGTGATGATTCCCCACCACACATCTGCAGACCACCAGGAACAGAGGCTCTGCAGGTAGAGATTCGAGGGTTGCAAATACATTTTAAGGAGCAGGCAAATTCATAGTGTCGGGTACATAAATAAGTGATCATTTTATTTAAAAAGATGTAGCCATTATTTTTTCTTTGCTGTGCCATCTTAGCTTTTTACAATCGGGATTTACAAACCAAACCACAGTTAGGCTTGTGAGTACCCCCTTAGTGGGCTCTGGGTATGGAGAGAGTGGTGGGTCGGGTCGCTGCCTCTACCCTCCACGCTCCGCAGGAGTGTAGGGAGCACTGGAGCGGACAGTCTTTGAAAGGGAGTGAACTCATTTGCAAACCCAGACCCTTTTCTGGAAGTAATATTCCACAATAGTCTTATCTTCTATGTGTTACGGTATATTCAGGTTCTCTGTATCTTTGGAAATGAATTTTAAGAGCACGAGTTTCAGAAAATTATCCATTTTGTTGAGTTTTCAAATTTATCAAAAAGTATAAAATCTGATAAACCAGATCCCTGCCCTATATGCATGAAACAGAAAACAGAAACAAGTCCAGTGTCAAATATATAAATTTCAGTAGCTTATGATTTCAGGATTTACTTCACTTATTCCTTTTCCAAGAGAAATGCATTGTTCCTAGATCCTTGACTTTCATAATGAATATATACCACCACCACCCCACACACATATACATACATTATACATATGACAATCCACATAGCCAATAACAAATATAGGGAGACCGGACCAAAGCATTATTTTTACCTGGGAACAAGATTGACAGAAAATAAGAGGAAGTGAAAGATTGCATGGTTCAATTGTCATTGCAGTTCATCTGTGCCAATTTTCTAATTCTGCCATCTGTGAACTTACGCATTTAGGAAGGGTGTTCATGACCACATGAAACTAAACTTGGCATCATGTGGGAAAAGGGGCTCTCTGAACTTGATACCGGGCTAAGTAAAGCTCAGGACCTGTGCTGCCCAATATAGTAGAGACTAGTTTCATATGGCTGTTATAATAAAAATAATTGAAATTCAGTAAAATAGTTAACAGTTTCTCAAGCTCACAAAGCTCATTTCAGATGTCCAGTGGCTAAGGGTGGCTATGTAAACTTAAAATTAGTGCAAACTACAGTCATTATGTTAGTGACACTGCTCACTTTCACTTGCTCGTTGTCACATTTCATTGTGCAGGTAACGAACATCAACATCGCTATCATCACCCAGAGTTCTTTTGGAAAGTGCTGCACTAGGCTCACTGGCTTACGCTCCTCCTTATGATGAACCTCCTTACCAATGCCAAGTACAATGGGAAATGCAGACTATTTTCCCTGAAGTCCTGAGTCTGTTGTCTAGTTAGGGTCATAGTCAATTAGGCTTTTCCCCTGTGATCGCTTCAAGTTAGTAAATACTATTTCAAAGAATTTATGCATCCTATTAAAACATTAAGGAGCCCTGGTGGCATAGAGAGTTACATGTTGGGCTGCTAACTGCAGGGTAGGCAGTTTGAAACCACCAGCTGCTCCTTGGGAAAAGACGAAACTTTCTACTCCCATAAAGATTTAGTCTTGGAACGGGTGGGGGGTGGGCAATTGCAATGATCTACATATACCTCCCCACCCACCCACCCCACAGGGTGACAAGCAACAGAAACGTGGGTGAAGGGAGACAGCAGACAGTGTAAGATATGAAAATAATTATAATTTATCAAGGGTTCATGAGGGTGGGAGGGTGGGGAAGGGAAGGAAAAAATGAGCTGATACCAAGGGCTCAAATAGAAAAAATGTTTTGAGAAGGATGATGGCAACATATGTGTGAATGTGTGTGACACAATGGATGTATGGATTATTATAAGAGCTGTAAGCCCCTAATAAAATGATTATTAAAAATAGATTTAGTCTTGGAAACCCAGCAGAGCCACTTCTGCTCTGCCCTTTGTGCCACAAAGAGCCAAAATCAACTTATCAAACATTTGGAGTCTTGGTGGTACTGTTGGATAAGCATTGGACTGCTAATCATGAGGTTGGCAATTCAAACCCACCAAATGATCCACAGGCGAAAGATGAGGCTGGCTGCTCACATAAAGATTTATATATAGTCTATGAGACCCTTTATAGGCTCATAGTGAGTCAGAAATTGACTTGATAGCAGATTTTTTCATTAGAACGTTAGTTTTCCATTCAAAATATTCTTATCTAAATAAATGGTTCATTTATTTTGAGATTGAACAAAAGAATGAAAGCAGTCTTTTCAATCTGACATAAAAGCAATCTTTGTCACTACAATGTAAATTACAGATCTTTCATAATAAAATAATTTGTTTTTGTGCATTTGCTGACTATTCATTGTGTAATACTTTTACGCAAGAGTTATTTTGATTGTAACTTTATGTTTTTTCTCTTGGATTTGTCTGTAGGTTTGCAAAGATTCAAATTAGTGTATCTGAACCCATTATCCCATTCAGAGAAACGATCACAAAGCCCCCCAAAGTTGACATGGTCAATGAAGAAATAGGCAAACAACAAAAAGTTGCCGTCATACATCAAGCGAAAGAAGATCAAAGCAGAATCCCTGAAGGTGTCCAAGTTGACTCTGATGGGCTTATCACCATGTCAACCCCCAATAAACTTGCCACGCTCGGTGTGCGAGCCGTGCCCCTGCCCGAAGAGGTCACTCAGCTCCTGGAAGAAAACAGTGATGTGATCCGCTCGATGGAGCAGTTGGCATCGTCTTTGAGTGAGGACAGAAGTTCTCAGATGATTCACCAAAAGACCCAAGAGAAAATTTGGGAATTCAAAGGAAAACTAGAGCAACACCTAACAGGGAGAAAGTGGAGGAATACTGTGGACCAAATCTGGTCATTTGGGCCAAGAAAATGTGGACCCAACATACTAGTGAACAGAAGCGAAGATTTCCAGAACTCAGTGTGGCCAGACCCCGTCAGCAAAGCTTCAAAAGAAGCCTCTAAATACCGAGATTTGGGCAATCCGATCGTGAATGGCTTTCAGCTAGCAACTCTCGCTGGTCCCATGTGTGAGGAGCCTCTCATGGGTGTCTGCTTTGTTCTGGAAAAATGGGACTTAAGTAAATTTGAGGAACAAGGAACAAACGATAAGCAGAATCAAGAGCAAAGTGATGTGAAAGAGGGGCAGGGGGGCGCTGGAACTTGCTCTGGTGAAGGGGACCGTCAAGGGCTGCCAGGGGGCTGCTCTGAGATGAGGCCTGTCCCGCCAGGAGAAGCTGCGCTCCCTGACTGCTACGGCCCCTTTTCTGGACAGCTGATTGCCACCATGAAAGAAGCGTGCCGCTACGCACTGCTTGTGAAACCTCAGCGCCTGATGGCGGCTATGTACACGTGCGACATCATGGCCACTGGCGATGTGCTCGGTAAGGAAGGGAGGCAAGGAGGGAGGGATAGCTCAGTAAGAACTGCCTGAGACCAGTGATGTCGTCTCGGTCAGAAAACTTGAACTTGTTAAAGAAGGTTTGTTACGTCATCTAATGACTGAAGGGACTCAGATCTCAAAAGCCAAGGGCCTTAGTTATTAAAACCTAGTGGGGAAACATCCAAATACTATCGATCTTTTCTTTCGCAACCAATGGAATCTCTTCTGAAATGGAAAGGGTGGTGAATGTGGTTTAAACTTCCATCCTAACCTGCGTAGCCATTTTTTCTCAAGTGAGTAGCCGTGTCAGTCTGGGTACCCAGTCATTTGGAAAATGATCAAGGAGTTAGGCAGCATTCTTGTACTCTAACACAAAAGGGCTTTTGTGAATGCTGAGTCCCTTCTAAAGAAGAAAATTACTTGAGGTTTTATTCATTACTATTATATCAGACACTGCCTTCCAACCCCTAACCCCCTTTTTTCTCTCTGTGTGGGATGCAGCACACTCATGGACTCTCATGACACTTGGACCCCTGGAACATAGTACCAAGTTTGACTTTTGACAGATACTACGTCACTGAGAGTTATTTTCCTCACCTATTATAAGCAAAAAAAAAAAAAAAAGCCTTAACTTATTGGAGATGGTGAGGTTAAAATGGGAATACAAATAGAGTGCCCAGAGCAGTGCCTGGCACACAGTAGTTTTCTTGCCCTCGTGAACATGTGGAACTGTTGCAGTGTTCAAGGAGGGCATGAGGGGCACTGAGCATCGGGTGAGGGGGTAGACCGGAGGACTAAGTTCCTCTATCGATGGTTATTTCACATTCTTATTAGTAAGTTCTTTGGCTGATGAATTCTTAAAAGAAGAAAATTATGCATTTTTTCTCCCTAAAGAATTTAGGCTGACATCACACAAAGATCCAAAGACAAATTGATTGTCCACAGTCACATTAAAAAACCAACAAACCAGAGTTAAGTTAGAGATTTGGTTCCTAATACAACCTGTGAGAATTTCCAAATATGGTATATAACTCATAGTGTTTCTCAAACTCATTTCACGGTATCATTTGTGTGAATGTTAGGGAACCCACAGATGCAGTCTAGACCATTCCCAGATGTTATTCTTCACGCTCCTCACGAACTTCCTTGGTTTAAGAAAGTGAAATTAGTGTTGGAGTCCAGGAATCTTGAGTCGTTGGAAATCTTTAGGAAAGCCTTCAGAGCTCATTACCTTCCCTGACAGATGCTGTGTCACTTCTGGGATCAGGCAGTGACTTCCCAGTCTTGAACAAAGAGTTTTATCTCTGGACAGTTTCCAACCCTCTCTACTACCATCTGGACTGCTTCCATGCAGCACAATTTACATATGGGAAGAGAGCATTCATTCTCGACTCATATGTTTAGAGAAAGCTAAGGAATTTATTATCTTTTTATTACATTTTTCCTGGAGTTTTTTGAAGCCCCCAGTGTAAATATGATATTTTTGTTTTTATTTATTTATTTGTTTTCATGGTAGTATGCTCATCTCAGCCCCGCTTGGTGGTCCTGGTGGGGAGAGCCCAAGACCGAGAGCAGGGCCCAGCTTCATTGCTAACCAAGGCTTATCATTTTAGGGGAGCATGATTACCTTTTGTTTTTATTTTTAATGGTAAGAAAAAGAAGCCATCTTCTTACATTCAATCTATACATTTTCTCATTTGCACTTTTTTGTATGCTAGAAACATTCAACAATACACCAAATGTTTAAAGACATTAATGTCATTTATGTCTATATAACAGTCTCCTAATTATCAGTTTATCAACTAATTGGAAAAAGAAAAAAGCCTTGGTTGGTTTGATTTTGTGTAAATAAGCTCATATCCTCTCTAGATGTTTTCCTCATACTTTTGAAAATGGGAACTACTGGAAATTAGCAGAGGAATGTCTAGTCTACAGTTTATGGAGGACCCCTCTTTTTTTGTGTGTGCTAAATGTTAACAATAGTTACCTTTTATCTGTAATTTAGCAGTTATTTCACTATCCGTAACTCAAAAGGGCAATTTTTTTTAGCACTGTGAATATAAATCTGCTGCTGGAGACGTGGACTCTTGTTTTTAAAAGCCAGGTACTTGCTTATGGACTTCTCAGTCTCTTGAACTTTATTATTCTGTTGTATTTGTTATGGTGTGGTCACCATCCTCTGTACCGGAAGATGGTAGGGTTTTCTTGCTGTCTTTCTAACATTATACAATTTTCCTCAACTTCTAGGCATGCCTCATCCTTCTTTCGAAAGTCGTCTTTAGCACTGTTGTTTTGTTAGGGCCAGTTTATTCTGGTTTTTCATATCTGCATACATTAGTTGGTATCCCCATGGTCCATCCCTCTTCCCCTTCAAAAATCAGAATTATGAGACAGAAAGTCTCCTACATGACCCCACTGATTTATTTTGGAGCTATGATTATATTTGGAGGGGAGAAATATCACTTGTTTCTCTTATTAGGATCATTCGTGAATGATTATTTTTTCAATACATTATTGTATTGGGTGCTCTAACAGCTCTTATAACAATCCATACATCCATTGTATCAAACACATTTGTAAATATGTTGTATTTTCTTTCTACTTGAGCCTCTGGTGGCATCAACTCGTCATTTTTTCCCTCCCTCCCCTACTTTTCCACCCTCATGAACCCTTGATAATTTATAAAAAATTTTTTCATGTCTTACACTGACCGACATCTCTCTTCACCCACTTTTCTGTTGTTCGTCCCCCTGAGGGGCTGCGTGTTATATGTCGATCATTGCGATCAGTTACCCTTTTCTCCTCCACCTTTCCCCTTCCCTCATGGTATCACTACTCCTATTATTGTTCCTGAGAGGTTTATCTGTCCTGGATTCCGTGTGTTGAGAGCTGTTATCTGTACCAGTGTACATGCTCTGGTCTAGCAGGATTTGTAAGATAGAACTGGAGTCATGTTAGTGGGTGGTGGGCTTGGGGGTGGAGAAAGCATTAAAGAACTAGAGGAATGTTGTATGTTTCATTGGTGCTAACTGTACCCCTGGCTGGCTCATTCCTTCCTTCATTGCAACCCTTCAGTGAGGGATGTTCTATTGTCTACAGATGGGCTTTGGGTCTCCACTCCAGCACCCTAAATTGGCATCAGTATGATTATTTTGGGTCTTTGATGCTTGATACCTGATCTTGTCAATACCTCGTGTGTTAGACAGGGTTCTCTAGAGAGATAAAACCAAATTGCTGATAATTTAATATATTTATTTATAAAGCTAATTAGATATATAACGAGAAATGAACTGTTAAATCATATACAGATAAATATATAATACAAGAAATAAACAGTTAAATTAGAAAGCACTACAAATGGCTCAGTGCAACTCACGTCCCTGAGAGAAAGTTGAGAGACTAGCAGTGCTTCAAGTCTCTGTCTGCT